TGATGTGTGTTATATAACGGTATAAAACGTTTAGATTTTCAACAAAATTGTGGATTAGGCAACCTTATTACTACTGTTTCACAAATCTTTATTCTTTAATATATCCGTCATTTTGTAGTTTGTTGCATCCAGCTACCACTATTCCTTCCAATATGTGATAAAAACAGATTGCTTTATGGTTCCTTAACTTTAATTTAAAGTATGATAACTGTAGAACAAGGCAATACAGGTCATTCTGGCTAAAAGTACGATAGTGCTTTATTGCCTAATAATCAGTGCTACATCTAAAATTATCTATCATCTAAAAAGAGTATATAACACTAATATAAACAACAGGTACTGTCTAACTCATACACAACTGTACTTTACCTACAGAACTATTGATAGTATACGTTAATAACAGCAGACTATTTTACATCTCAAATGCATGGACTTCATACCCAAAGAGGAACTGGTAACAGTTCACATTTTCTTATTTTTGGAATGGATATATGAACTTATTACGAAATATACTAATTGGAAGTTTTAAAGCAGATTGTAAAATATGTTCTTGATTCATCATTAATTACGTAGTTATCAGAGATTTGATGAAGTAAGACGTCTCTTTTACAATCTTGAGAATTCTCGTTGATATAACAGATGAAACATTTTAACCATTCAAATTCGACATAACCTATTATCGTGTATGAAGATCATTCATTGATCTTGGTACTAGACTACTGATTTTTTTTTCGTGCCTGTGTGATAAATGGATATATGTCAATCTCTGTAGGTGCCTGTAACTAGTTGGTACAGAAGATAGTTCCCTAAAACTCAAACTTGTTACTTTAATCAAATGTTTGGTGTGGAGACCGTGTTTGAAACAGTTTGAGCTCTCTACACAGCCTCCCTTTGGTTCTCTGACAGAGGCAGAGCTGCAGGATCACGAGTAGCGATGCCGTCCTTCTCGGTCTCTCGAATTTCCTACAAATCAAATCAAAAGGTGTCACAGAATTACAGAAAATATTTAGGTAAACGCAGAAAATATATTTCTATGTACTTTCGGAATTGGAATTTTGGGTTGTAAATTTTCATCAAGAATATACGTTATATAAAAAAAAAATGGTTACCGAAATAAATACTTGGAATTACTGCTCATCATTCACAAACTAAAAGAATGCAAAAAAATGTTTGGATCTTTGATTTCTTCGTGGAATCTAATATGAACAATTTACCATTTATCATTTTGAATAAGTAATCTACTTATACTACACACGGAATGAAAATACAGCTGATCTAAGACACACCTGTTTGCTGAGAAGAAGATCTCGTTCCGGGAAGGTTGGCTCGTACACCCGCACACTGTCCATGCCCCCCGCCCCTGCCATGGCTAAGAACAGCAGGGAACTTATGCAGAACGGGAAGGTGAACACTGGCAGTTGATTCTTGTTGAAAAAAGGGCGTAGGTCTGATTAAACACGATTCCAATAAAATTACTACTACTAATAATAATATAGACAGTCAAGTGAAGGCAGGACTGCAAACTATATGTTGATACCAAGTAGGAAAGGATGGATTTACAGGAAACTGGACTAACCAGGGCGAAAGAGGGAACGAGCGCTGCATGGAGGAACGTGGTGAAGACGGAGTTTACGATGGCAAGGAGAAAGACTCTCGGCGAGGGAACCATGAAGATGGCGAGGCTTCCACCTGACAGGAACCCGTTATAGCCCCAGCCACCAGCATACACGGCAGCGTATGGAGCCGATGACACCGCAAGAGCTGAAGTGAGACGATTTAGCTCTGAACAAGATTTACATTATCATTCATCTTTTGGTACTTCTAAAAGTCACTGAGCTAAACCGTGAAGAACAAAATCCTATAGAGACATAATGAAGTAGAAATGTCGATTTCCACTTCCCATACATAACACAACACTGTATCCCTTATTTATGAAAGCGAAAATTAGTATAACTACAGTTAAGAGTTCCAGCTAAGAAAGTGTTTGCGTTCAAGGTTAATGTGCGATATAAAAAACCTACTAAAATGGAAGAAGAGAGAGAGGGGGTGGGGGAGGAAGAGAGAGACAGAAAGAGACCTATATATTCAAGAAGAGATTATCTAATATTGTATGACTATAAGCTTCTAACGTTTGTTTATGTCTGATCATTTTATTATTATGATTCACACATTAAAGTGGGTATTTGGCTGAAATGCATCATTCTCAATGTAACCCTCCCATCAGAGAAAAGGATTCTTTAATAAAATGTTATTACAGGCATCTCATATATGAGTTACAGACTCATTATCACTCACCTGTTAGGGAAGACGTGAGAGCACCGAAGAAGGCGAAGACGGTAAGGATTGGCGAATACAAGAAGAGGCCAATGAGCGTGAGCGAAGAGCACGCGATGCTCTCCACTGCGTAGGCTTGTCCAGCGGAGAGGAATGAACCTAGGAAGACCTGTCAGATCACCGATGAATTAACTTGAGAATATATTCAACTCATTACGACTGGAGT